CACGGTTGACGGTCAGCACCTTGTGCAAATGGCTGAATCAATTTTACGATAGCAAGCTTGGATTAGCCAATTCGATTGCTAAGAGGCAACAGGCACTCTTCGGTGTGGGTTTCACTCCTTTGGAGGTCGTTAATTCCCCATGCACCGAAGAGTGCCTGGTTACGAATGAATTGACGTAGTCGATGGCGGCAGAAAACGAATGTACAACCTACGGAACCATGGACTGGAAAATATCAGCTTTCTGTCACCGTTAAGCACAAACAAACTTAGGGTCCGGCACTGCATGTCCGTCAGTGTTGTATAGCTCACAGGTCTGCTCTTGTCTGGCTGAATACGGACATCTTGGTAGCACTTTTGTCTGACGCCAAATAAATATGAGCATTTCGCTAAAATCATTTGACCAAAGCATAAAAAGAACGCAGGTTTATCCCGGGTCATACAAAAATCAAACTATAGGATAGTTTTGTATTTGCACGACTGCTAACAACTAGCTACCAACCATGACCGAAGCAAACCTGGGGCGTCGTGCACAAGCCCACCTGGTAGGGAGATAAGATAAACTGATCTTCCTAATTCTCTGACGGTACCGCGATTTAATCGAGAAACCTTGGTTCTGAGTTTCAATAAAATTTTATCTGAAGCTGATACAATTCCATTCTAGGTAGTACAATCCTGAAATTTAGTGAAGTATGCGCCCGTGGAAGTGCATAACAGTACGAGAGATCAAATTTGAATGGAATCCAGTCATCAAACAAATTTACACCAAACGGTGGTCAGGTAGAGCGTTATGGCATAAAACTTATTCAAACATAGGACAGCATCATTCATACATACCAAAGACAGTTTTTCAACAACATTTCCTCGTTCGACCCCAGTTGGACACCGAGAAGACACCTAACGCGACCAAGAGAGCGCAGCATTCGAGAAACTTCATCTTCCGAGGAACAGGAGATGACGTAGGTCTTTGCTAAGGCATCTCGTATCTGCATAAACAGGATGTTTTTACAAGAAATTCTCAAGATAAAGAGATGGAGCAATTATATTCCAGAAATGAAAGTGAAATGAACTTTTATTTTTGATACAAAAGATTACGATAAGCTTGAATAAAAACAACTTATCCTAGTTGACACCAAAAGTAATCCAAAATAAAATTCGATTAAAAAGACAACTTAGTCCTAAACAAAAGAGCTCAAACGTTCATCCGGTAACTGTCCTGGATAACAAAACATGATTATGGCAGACGCGTTTCCCGAAATAAAAAAAACTTTAGGAACAAGCGAAATCGAGTCGATTATATTTCGGTGACCCATCATTTCGCCCCAAACATGCACGCAGATGAAGGTTTCAAACAGGACAAATACTTTGAACATTCATGTGTTAGTTGAACAACTAGAATGTGACTATTCGCGGGTTCACGCACTTAACGTAGTTCAGTTCAGTTCGTGCAACCACTTACCATGCACTTTCGTACGCCGGTTTGAGTTGCTGTCTATTGGAAACTCATTTGGATAAAGCAGTAAGAGGAAGACAGAAACGATGAAAGTAGAAGAGAAGAAAAAATGGAGCACTTTAGTGGACTAAGGTTGCAAAACATTGAGAAGATGCACAAACAGGGCCATTTACGATACTGAACTATATCACTCCATGTCCCTAACAATCGGTTACGATAATTCCCTTGGAGCCCAATGGGACCTATGTGACCCAGTTCCCTGTTTGAGGTTTTCATACCCTCGTAACAGGCCTTATCCTGACAACCCTGGCCATTTGTCCACGTACCACCTGCCTCGGCGAAAATCACGCGCCGTTGCAACCTATTTGGTGGCATGCGTTCCATATACCCCAGCCAACGTAATCTGTGGTGGTCGACCACTTGCTTCAGTGGACGACCGCAATTACCTAAGACTGCGCATAACTTCAGCATTGTTCGTCCGGTCTCCCCATCAAACTCGTGCAATGGTGCGTAGACACCGGTATTCAAACACTGACAGCCTATCTTTATGCTGTTTTCTTAATGGCCAAGTTTCTGTGCCGTACAGCAGAACTGGCCGAACTGCCGTAGCATACATTCGACCTTTCAAGGACAGCCAGATGTCGCGGCGATGGCGCCACGGATATCCCAAGTTGGCAAATGCCAACCGAGCCTTCTGTATGCGAGCTGACACTTCACCCGTGATGCGTCCACCGGGTGAGATATAGCTGCCCAACTAACAAAACTTATCCAATTGCTCTATTACCTCCTCAATTAGAGAGAGGCTGGGTGGTGGACCAACCCAGTCTTGTAGCGCCACTTTATACTGTGGAGGTGCAAAAACTATACAATAGCACTCAAACGATCCAGGTAAGCTTGTAACTCACATGTATAGCAGAAGAATGTCGTCCAAATAATCTAGATCAGATAGTCTGCCATCTGGAAGCAAATCAATGACCTTATCCGCGTAGGAGAAAAGGGCTGTTTCAAGAATCAAAGCTCTGACAAATTTAAATAAAAATGCAGAGGATAACCCTGATGAACACCACTTTCTTAAGTGAATTCGGGCGAAAAGTGCCGTGAGCTACGACTCTATTTCGGTTATTAGTGTAAAGGGATCGTGAAAGGAACCTCTCGGGCACACCCCTCCGGGAAATAAAGCACTAGAGGTTAAAGCAGTCAAGCGAATCAAAGGCCGCTTTCGGAAAGAGGAAGATAGAAATGGTGGGTCTACAAAAAGGATGTTGGTGGTCCAGAAATTAGCAGAGTGAAAATGTCGTTCACACAACCTTGACTAGGTCTAAAAACAGTTTGATGTTCACGCGGACACTGTTCACGTGTGGCAGACAACCGAGGGAATATGAACTAGAGAGCAGTTTAGAAGCAATATTAATAAAACTGATTCCCTTATAGTTTTCCCAAGAGGATCTGTGACCTTTCTTGCAAATCGTTATGATGGCCGATTCACATCGTTCAGTGTTCACTTTCACATACCGACCTCAGGAGTTTCGTCAGTTCCAAGATTAACGATTAACTTCCATCCTCGAAGGTTGAAAAGAACAGTCGATCTGGGCTGGAGGCCTTTGCCTTTTGAGATAACTTATTTCCCGGGAGCATCGATTTCATATGGAGGACTAGCAACAGCTGAGAGTATTTGGCCCATCGAGGTAGGGGGCGGTAGATTAGACGCCGAT